ATGTTTATTGAAAATGAGCAATAAAATGTGATTCTAACGATTATAAAAATTGATTTATTGCACTGTGCTATTAGATAAATGTGGCTTTAAGTTTTGTCACTGTTATTTCAGTATATACAGATTAGATACATGTTTTAAAGCGTTCACTCCATAAAAAATGTAGCAATAAAGGTCATCTGCAGACTTTGTATTCCTGGATTCCATTTCTGGGATAAGTAACATCAATTATTTGTGCCACTCAAATTCTCATTAGCAAACTATAGGCGCATTTCTTTTTACTTCTTAACTATATGCAATTACGTTGCTATTTAATACTTTCTTAGATTTTCGCGAATATTTGACAAGATATTATAAAAATACCTTTGAGACTCAGAGATATCTAACACCATAATCTCTCCCATGACCATGATTGCTGTAAAGCATTCGAAACGTCGGGAACCAAAAATCAAAATAAATCCGCAAAAAATCTGAAAAGACAGTTTTATTTAAAACGTTGCTATTTACTTTAAATAATAGCTATTTTTATGCGGTATGTAAGTACAAGTCCACGAGGCAATGAATAATAGTTTAAATCATAATATTGAATCACATTTCCGAGTATAATGTTTATATAACAATCTAGTTTTAGTGTGACTTCATGTTCATTATTTATTTACTAGAAACTATATTTAGTCGAAAGAGATTTTCTGTTCGCGTTCCATATAAGGAAACTAATGACTAAACTAAGGTTGTGTTATATCTTCTTCTTATCTATCAATATCACAGTATATTCATATAGTAAAATTCTGAGTCGAATCGGTGCATTAAATATTTTTTTGGAAATCTTATTGAAATAGTCATTATTATCGATACAGAAGCCGAATCTATAGTTTTCAGAATGTTGTCTGTCTGTCTGTCTGTCTGTCTGTCTGTCTGTCTGTCTGTCTGTCTGTCTGTCTGTCTGTCTATCTGTCTGTGACCGTATCACGAGAAAACCACTGGACAGATTTTGATGAAATCGGTATGATGATAGCTGGTTATATTAAATAGTTGCTAATATTAAATAGTTGAATAAATTTGTTTTTAAATATTTATCTCTAATTGACTTGATTGATCGAAGATAAAACTCACTAAAACTCGTCAATAGCTACTAAACAAAAAGAAAAAGAAAAGAAAATCGGTTGACAAACAAAGGAGAAAAAGGCACTGAGCTGTTCTGTCTTTGCCTATTTAAATATAGAAGAGATTAAGTATCTATACCTTAAAAGATAAAAAGGAAAATGATCATTAATATTTCGCAATAATGAAGGTATACCTGCACATTTATTTTAAAATCATTTATAATTTTTTTTTTAATTTAGATCCCCTTCACTTTGCTAGACAAAAAAGTTTTTATTTTACCAGATACAAAGTTGTTGACAGCTAGTTTTACATACAATTTAAAATAAAAAACAAAATATATTAACAGTTATTATTGCGATGTAGTCACTTACGCCTACAGATCAGGAGTCAATACTCCCTGCAAAAAAGGCCTTATATATAAAAGATGAAGTCACTCTCTTATCTACATCGCATTTGAAATATATATTTGTGTTACTTTACAGTACATTTATTTATCCTCATTATTTTTTACTTTCTTTATTTTATTCACATATTATTAAGTGCATATATATAGCTATGGATAAATTACTTGGCTGAATAAATTATCCCGTAGTCGAAAAAAAATAAAGACTTGACATGCAATTTGACAAATGACAAATTGAGCGAAATGGTAAAGATGTTTAATATCGAATAAACAAGAATGTGTTAAATTAAAAGTATTCACCAAAATGGTAAGTAATAATTTAGTAAATGTCCAGTGGAGTTAGACTTAATTCAATAAAATTTTCTTGTAAAGGACTTCAAAGCGGGCCAGTTGATCACAGATGAGTTAAACTTATTAGCAAGAAATAAAAATTAGGTTAATAATTTATTCAAAATTTGTAACATTGATAGCTTTGTCTTCTAAAAGAGAAGAAGAAAAGAGATACCAACTTTCTTCATTTCTTTTATTCTTTCAGTGTAAAAAAAGATAGACGGAGTCTGCAAAAATAACACAAATATTATTATAAAAGCATATGTCATTAAAGAAACCTTTAATGTGTTCTTAAACTCAATTATGTTGATAATAATATAATAAAATGAAAAAAGTGTAAAATAATCTTGTTCTAATCGATGAACCTTTTAAGGTACGACTGCTTCGCGTTCGACATAAAAAATCGAAAAGCTTGATTGTAGAAATTGTTTTAAAGTGTAAGGAAAATTTTATAAATAAAACGAAAATCTGAGAAGATAGTTTTATTTAAAATGTTAAACAATTAAGAAATCTAAGAAAGTATTATGTGAAGAAAGATGTTTTGAATCAGGAGTCAATGCGTCTGTTAGTTAGATTAATAGAGACTGATGTGGTTTATTTTTGGCGACTTGCGCTTGAACTCAATTCGAGCGATAAATCTATTTCAATAATTAAGCTGTAATTTAAATGCTTTGGACGAAAAAATCTTCACTTGAAGGATCTTGGATATCTTCTTGCTACTGTGACCGTGGTATCTTTTAATGGGAAGTATGAATAAATAATTATAATTTTTAATATTAGTAATTAATAAAGTTTTTTTTAAAATTGTAACATTTATAATAATAATAGCTAAAATTAAATAAATAATATTACTATATTTAATTATAATATTTATTAATTTTTTAAAAATGTTAAGAAATAAAAATCAACAAATATTGTAAGGCACTTTATTGCCATTTTTTGAATTTTTGAAATCATATTTATAAAATAGTGGGTAGGCACTGTCTGTAACAAATATGTGCTTGCGACTATAATCTTAGTCTCTCCCGTGACCATGATTGCTGTAAAGCATTCGAAACGTCGGGAACCAAAAATCAAGATAAATCCGCGAAATAATCCAAAAAGATAGTTTTATTAAAAATGTCAAAATTTCGCGTAAATCTAAGAAAGTATTAAGCTAAAAGCATCACAATAATATGATTAAAATCCTATTAAGTTACCGCGGGACTCTAAACCCGACGTCGTCGAGTCAAAAAACTTACCAAAAAGTTGTTTTCGCAAAAGTCAACGCTAAAAATAAGCATGATCAGTTTACGTGACGCACTCCTGACGACACAATCTCACTTCTCATTCATTATACTAATTTTACATTAATGCTTTTTATCCTTTTTAATTCGCTTAATACTTATAAAAGTTGGCTGAGTAAACGTACCTTAAAATGGTTACGAATTCGATTATATTAGATGAGGCAAATGTGTTTTTTAATATGTTTTTTTTAGATTCAGGTAAAACGAACGGGCACTTTAGGTTAAAATTGCTACCGGATATAAATATTGTTTCTTTGTCTTTGTTTATTTAATTTAGTTAATTTTTTTAGTTAAATTAGTTAAGTTAATTAAACAAAAAACAAGATGTACTTGATCTAAAATATATTTTTCTGTTTGAATGTATTCTAACTCCACGGAAGAGTAAGCAATTTCAAGATGTAATGTTACTTAAGGGTGAAATAACTAACTTGTATATAGCCCTTTTTTAACACGGGACACGGGCCCTCAATGTCCTCAATACGAGCCATAATTCACCACGCTGGCCAAACGAGGGTTGCATAAGCTTAAGGCAAATGGTAATTATGTTAAAAATAAATTGCATATGAGAATATCAGCGGTGCGAGACCCGGGAATTGAAACCGCTTTACTTGGTTTTTCAAGCAAGCGAGTAACTACTGGGCTAGCACTGCGATTTTAACATATGCTCTAATGATGAAGATATTTATATAAGTTTATAAAAGAAAATTTTATCTTTATGTTTTACACAGTTTCAACCCATTTGGGTAACATTATTATTAGTATTATTTTAAAATAATAGTTATATGTGAGCTGCGAGCTCGTTGATGTCGTTTCCAAATATTTTGCTAAATTGTATGAAAAATCTTTAAATACAAGATTCCGGGTAATTATAATTCTCCTTCTAAACAACTTGACAGATATTGATGAGACATTTGTGTGTACTTACGGTCATCTGGATTGTTCTCAGCAATGATTTATTTATAAATACGTACTGCGTAGGTATATTGTTAAAATACAACTTTATTCTTGTTTAGATTAAGAGTAGTTCTGTAACTGGATTTATTTAAAAAAATACAAAGTTTTATACACACTGTTTTTTTGCTTGTTAATTTGTCTGTTTGTATTTCATATTCTATTTCAGTATCAAAGGTAAAAATTATATAATCTGTAAGCTCATTATTGTTCCAAGATTAGTTGAGAAAAAGGAAAAAAATGTGGTCAATGATACTTGAAAACATAATTTTCGTTTACGAAACCGGATTTTAATTGAATAATAACGTCTGACGCAAAAAGGCCGTTGCTCGTCCTGATTAATGTTCACACGGACCGTGTCTAATCCTCTAATATATTGCAATTTGTTGTTTTATAAACACTTGCTTGTTAGGCGATGATTTCAAAGAAAGGCGTTAGTCTATCTTAATTAAAAACCTTTGTCAGTTTTATATAATAGGAAGATCATAATCGACATTTATAAAATTTAAGTTTTAAAATGTTCGTTTGTTTATTTTCCTCTGGATCTACCAGTCATTTTATAACCTATTTATTGAAGAAAATTGTAGGACATCTAACGTTAAGCTACGGTCCTTAGGAGGCGTATTTCATTATAGGTCTATGCGAGCTCATCGGCGAGCGAAAGCTAGTATTTAACAAATTTCTTAATAATTCAATTAAATCTACATATGATAATAATCTGAAGGCAATTTTAATACAATTTGAAATATGCTACTATAACTGCTTTTAATATTTAATCCATACTTTCTGTAACAGCTTAATATAATATGCATATCTTTTATTTATAAAAGAAATACATAACTATACTTTTAAGTATATTGTATTGTATCTATATATTTATTAAATATTAATAACTCTTTTACAAATGTTATGTTTTTGGTTTATTTCAGGTAAACCGCGTGAGCGGGGTACCTCTGATCAGCCACCAACGATACGAAAAGAACCTTTTACACATTTATCTGAAGAAGAATTAATTGAAGAAGCAAACAAAGTTATCGCTCAAGCGCAGAGTGTTACTTGTACCGTAGATCATCCACCTGAGAAGTTTTTTTCTCTTCCACATAGAAGAAAGTTAAAAGAAGATAGATCTTGCAGAAGGAATAGTGACGACGGAGGTTCTCCAGAAGAAAATGACAAAACTCCTTTGGGTAGATCTACTAGTGATGTAAATCCCAAAAAAAGAAAAGAAAGAACATCTCTGTCAACTCTATTTAGACGAGCTCAAAGAACAAAAAGTCCTGATGCACCAGTGGTGGTTACGACAAAGCCTACAGTTGTTGTAAAAAGAAGCAAAAGTGACGTATCTGACCTAAAATCTAATACGAATCTCAATAAAACTAAACCTATTCGCAAACGATCGGGAAGTGAAACGGAGGAATTTTTAAAATCGTTGCGAAATAAAAAATCTCAATTGTCCCCTATTATAGAAAGTTCACCAAGAGAAGATTACTTTAAGAAAACTTCTCCACTCGATTTACTGCAAAATAATAAACCATCTGAGAAAGAAAGTATTAAATCAGACGGGCCTCTTTCAATAGATAGTAAAAAAGTCAATCCAATTGAAAAACCTCCTCGATTCAAAACTGACAAATCAGAACCGAAACCACCAATACGTAATAAAAGGGGAAAATCCTCCGAAAAAGAACAATCACCGCCAATTACAGAAACACCAAAACGAAAAACAGACGTAAAAAAAACTGTTCTTGTGGATGAGTTAGATTCAACCCAGCCAAACGATAGCCACATCGATATTAAAGATAATATTAACGATAAAATTCGAAAAATTGAAGAAAACGTATATGCTGATAAGGAGATGAGACACAGTAGTCAACAACCGCCTGAGAAGCCACCGCTGACGAGGGGTCATACGGTCGGACATATTGTACGAATACTTAAAGAAGATCAACATTCAACCCCACCTAAATCTCATTTGATCTCGCCACCAAACGGCAGAAACAGCAACCAGCCGTTCTCTTATACGAAGCCGAGTACTAGTCCTGATCCTAACTTATTTGTTAGAAATATAAGTCCAGACAGAATTCCCACACCAGTCAATAAAATGAATGATAAAGGTGTTGTGTACGCCCAAGTTATTAGAGATAACGGTGATCTTCGTCCTCATTTTCCAAAGCAAACTATGCATAAAGCTTTTTCGCCATCCAAGGATAAATATGCAAATTTTTCAGATGAAGATGAAGGGCTTGGATACGAAGAGAGACATAAATATTCTTCTGAACGGATATCTGACTTTGATTACAAAAACGATACTAACTACAATTTTAAGGACGGATTTAATATCAAAGAATCACCTATTAGACCAAGGTTTAGAGAATACAAATTGATGAGTTTTGATGACGCTGAACCAACTTATGCTAATGGTTATGCTGATAAAGCTGTCGATCTACAAATACCAATTGAAAACTTTAGAGGTAGAGCAGATGGAATGGATACGAAGAAGAAGCCATTTGAGTCTAGTGCACAGATTGACTTAGATTTCAATGAACTCAGCCACAGGAGAGAACTTCTTGAATCTCGTTTAAATGCTAGGAAATTTGATCGTGATCGGGAAAAAATCAGTTTCAATGAACCTATTTCAAAATATCTCGCTGAAAATGATCCAATATATGAAGCTGAGAAACGTATGAAACAGACAGAAAAATACGTAAATGACACAGTAAAATATTATCGACATACGTTAGAGAGAGATGGCATTGAAAGTACAGTAACTGAAGATTATAAATATGACTCCGATAGCTATAAAGTTAAATATAACACGGAGTCTAGGACTTTTCACAAAACATCTAAAGACGAGTTAGACAGACGTGAGTTCATTGATAGTTTGCGACCAGGAAGGTATAAGGATGAAAGGAAAATATTTCCCCCTGAGCCTGAATATGAACCACCCAGTTTGGAATCTAACCCTGGAAAACTCATAGCGTCACCTGATGAGTATAAAGAAAAGAAATATAAAGTAAAGAAAAATTTTACATCTAGTCACGATCTTCTTCAGGGTGGTCAAAAGTATAAAGTTAAAGAAGATTATTTTGGAAAAAGAAAGGGTCATTATGCATCTAATCCAGAAATAGCTCAAGAACGAGAAGATGATTACGCTAATCTTGGCTATAATAATAAGCACGAATCTTACCATAACTCTTTACGTCGGGTTAAAAGTAAAGAAAAAGAGTTTAACAATCATTCCAGCATACGTCGACATGATTCTGGTGATAGCAGAGATTACTATCGCGAGCAAATGTCGCCTCGACGATTTGATTTTGACAGTAGATTAGTTGATTCTGGTATCGAAAACGATTTTAGACACAATTCGAGTGGTGAGATTCATAGGTCTAAGCCAAGAAGACATGAAAGTGACGAAGATATTCGCAATACTTCTTTATTATTGGCTAGTGAGAGACAGCATACAGAAGATAACTATCCAAGCGAGCAAATCTATGCAAATGGGGATTACTTAGCGAAACAAAAGAAGTATCGAGGTGATAGAAAAGATTATATTCCTAGAGATGCAGACGACGGCTCTCTTTTAGAACCAAAACATTATCGCCACGATAAAAGTCCGAGCAGACACGATGATAAAGTTAGTGCGAAGCCACCAAAAGCAACTAAGAAGCTATCTGGACTTGAAAAGGTAATTTTAAATGCAAATAGCTATACCGTTAAAATCTAAGAAAAGTGTATAATGTATATCTTATTCACTGTTCATAGAAGTTAACGATGCATCGACTCTTAATTACTTTAATGTAGGCAATAATTAAGCTATAAACTAATATTCTATGTAACTTACGAAAACACATATCTATGTGTTTCACCTTTGCATATCTATGCAGATGCTTTTTATCATGATTGGTTGACATTGATAATGAAGCAAAGAAACAATCTTTTCGAATTTATAATTTTTGAGTAAAATATGAAATTTGAGATACGTTTGATTTTTATGTATTATATATTTTATAAATAGATGAAACAGCTATTCTCTCGCGACTCTTCTAAGAAGAGCAAGAAAGAGAAGGAGGTCCAACCTAAGACTCGCACCCGGGTGCTCAAGAGCCCTGAACATCTTGCCAGAGACGATCCTGAGTATAGAAGGTAATAACTTATTATTCCTAACTAAAATAAACAAAATCATATTGGATTGCTAAAATCTTATAATATTTTGCTTTAAAGTTAAAAAAAAAGAAAGTTATAAAAAAATAACACATCAAATAGAAACTATTACTCAAATGTTTTGTACTAATAAAATTATCATGTATAACTATAGAGAATATAATTTTATTTAAATAAAAAAAAACAAGATTGACTAATAATAATGACAATTCTAGATATACAGACCCAGAACCTAGTGACATAGAAGTAAAAAAGAGAGATGACAAAGAAGAAAGAAGGTACAGAAGATCTAGGGAGGATCTAGACAACTACAGGAGCCCTGACCCCCGGGAAAGCATTGATAACAGAAGGGAGGATCGGTATAGGGATTCAGATTTTGAAGGAAGGTAAGATCGTATTATTTATTTTTAATATATCCACGTGATTATTATATTGAAAAATAAAATATTCTTTAAGGTTCAGAGCAGTTTAATTAATTTTAAATAAAAATAAAAAATAAACATAGATATTTGAGTAGATTTTCTCTTTTTATATCATAATATGAGATAAAGTTCAAACTATTTTAAACTATACGTTCATTGGCAATGTTAGAGTTAGCTGTTGATATAAGATTTTCGAATGTTAAAAACAAATTTTATAAATTTAGATTCGAAAGAACTGTAAAAGAAGATAGAAGGTACAAAGAGCGTCGTGAAGAAAGAAGAAGGTATAATTCATCAGAAAGAGAAAGCGACAGACCATCTGACGTAGAGAGTGATCGACGAAGAACCAGATCTAATACGGCTGGCCCATTGGATTCACCTGCCTTGGTAAGTTTTATACTAAATTATTCTTATGACTGAATTTAAAAAGAAAACGTTCTTAAATTACAATTAAATTGTTCATACTATAACTACAACATTAAAACGTAAAGTAATAAAAAAAACACAATATTGAAAAAGAAACTGAAAATGTATTTATTCGATTTAAACAAAATGGACTCCAAATCCCATTTATTAAAAAAAACATTTTTACAAATATGGCTAAACAGTTGAAAGATAAATCTCTGTAAATGAAAAAAAAAATCTCTCTCTCTCTCTCTGTAAATATTTTCTAAGTTTATATTAAAAATGAAATAAATTTTATTCAATTACGCTTATTATAAGCATTTTTAATAAGTCTAATTTAATGAAGTTTATTTTATTTCAAGAGTTCATTTGAGAAATATAATAAAAACAATTGATTAGGCCAATTACCTTCACATCCACAAAAACTTTTAGCAGAGTTAATAATTAAAATATTTTACAATTTAATGAGGTTAACTCTTATTCTTATGGGAAAATGTAAAATTTAATTCGAGCGCAAGTCGCTCATGTATATAATTCTATACATATACTCGTATATTATACTCTTCTATACTAATATTATAAAGAGGTAAAGTTTGTGAATTGTGAGTTAGAGACGTTGTAGGGGGTAATCTCTGGATCTACTGAACCGATTTATATGAAATTAGATAAGAAGATAGTTTGAGACCCTGGAAAGGACATAGGATTTTTATCCCGGAAATCATCTCTTAGGGGGAGAAAATGGGGATGAAAGTTTGTATGGGGAAACAACCTAGGGACGAACCCGAGTGAAACTAGGGTGAGTCGCTAGTATAAAATAAAGTCGTTATCTGCCTCCGTCTGTTTCTCTGGTTACTTCGACATGTTATTTGGATGGATTTATATATATATATATATATATATATATATATATATATATATATATATATATATATATATATATATATATATTATAGAAACTATTGAACCGATTTAAATGAAATTTTGCATGATAGTACCTTATATCCCCGGTCAACATCTAAGATACTTTTCATTCCAGAAAATTAAAGAGTTTCTGTGGGATGGTTAAATAACTATAGTAACTTATAATATTTTAGTACACAACAACTTATCCTCCTAATTTAGAAAAATTTGGCATGCTAATAGCTTATATTTCCGGTCAAATAACAGGTTACTTTTCATCCCGGAAAAATTAACGGTTCCCGTGGGATAGATCTGTTTGTTCTTTTCTAGAGGTGAACCCGAGCGAAGCGAGATAATATATGTATTATAGTTTTTACTAATTAATACACGAGTACAAGGTTTATGTATATAATTTGTAAATATTTTAAATAAAATAGCGGAACTATGACGGTGTTTTATCAAAAAACTGTTCACACGCTTACACGAGTAGCACTTGCTAAAGTTTAAGAGATACATCAAAAAATATATAAGAAAATTATAGGTATTAAAAAAACCTGGCAAAACTTGCCAAAGCATGTGTCTATCTCCTAAAGTACACTCATAACTATTTTTATCTATTAAAAACGTTCCCAGGGTAAGTTGCTAGTAGATACATACATACATACATACATACATATATGACTAAGCCAATTTTCAAAAGATTTTATAAAATATACTCTTTTAAACTTAAGTCACAAATAAATTGATAAACTATACCCGGTTCTATAAAGTAGTATTTTTTTAAATAAAAACAATTTATTGAGCATAAGAGCGTCATAGCGCTCAGATGGCAAGATGTTGACCTATAGTAAAAGTCAGGGTTCATATTACTCATCGCTTTTTGTCAAACTGTATATGTATACTTCCTGATTTTATACAGAGTGTTTTATTTATATAAATAACTAGCGGCTTACACTCGCTTTGCTCGGGTTCGTCTCTAGAAAAACAAAAACAAATCTATCCCACGGGAATCGTCCATTTTTCCGGAATAAAAAGTAACCTATGTCCTATTCTAGACTATAATCTATCTCTGTGTCAAATTTCATCCAGATCCGTTCAGCCGTTCTAGCGTAATTGAGTAACAAACATCCCAACATCCATATAAACTGTCATATTTATAATACTAGTAAGATTAGTAACATTTCAGAATAATTAATAATTAGGAAACAATAATAAGGAAATACTTTAAGAACTAAGATTTTTATGAAAATGAAAGAATGGTATATTTTTTTGTTATAAATTAATAATTTTGTTAATTTTTCATTCAATGGATTTCAAGGACAAGGTATCATGAGTATTTTAAATATCAAATGCTTAATTAATGCAATTTTAAAGCAATTTACGAAAAATGTTCGACTACATCTTTATAAGAACATTGTAATTTAGCCACGATGTTATCTAAAATTGTTTTTATTATATTCAACAATCGCTGTGAGAGATCTTTTACACTAAACACATTAAACGAATGTAATACATAGACATTAGGCATACTTTTCTGTCAATCTTTATATGTATTTAACTTCTGGTAATCTTAGAAAGTGAGGCTGATTTTTTCATCTATCTCCCTTCTTTGGTTCTATCTGCATATGGATTCAAAGACAAGTTCAAAACATCATTATGTAATCTATACTAATTATTATAAAGAGGCAGAGTTTGTTTGCTTCCTTTTATGTTTGTTTGTTTCTTTGAACGCGCTATTCTCAGGAACTATTAAACCGATTTGAAAAAAAATTGCATTAGATATCCCGTTTATTGAGAAAGGCTAAAGGCTATATTGTAACATGCTATTAGCCATGGGAGCGGAGCAGTCATAAAATATATAGTCTATCTATTTCATACTAACCATTAAAACCGAACCCGAGCCCGAAGCCGAACCCGAGCGAAGCGAGGGTGACTCGCTAGTTACTATAATAAACAATGAATTTATTGAAATAGACTTTTACAAGCATCTTTAACGCAATTTTTACAATTATATTTACAAAAGTCACCGTCTATCAAAATTATACGCTCCCAGGAGCAACCAAAAGAACTCAACAGTTGCTCTATTAAAATTTTAGTGTACATAATTTATATTCATATAATATAATAGCTATTCTGGGAAAATCCAAACGAATTTAATGACGTATATATTTATCTTTTAAATATTCTTGCGTCAAATAATCTAGATAATATCGACTTCTATAGCAAAATAACCCTACCTGGTTATAATAGGGTTCCAAAACCTTTTATCATTTCAATACACTAGTATTGAAATGGTCTCAGTCAGATTAGCCGCCATTCACAAACCAATTTTAAAAAATAAAATGATTTTTGGTTCAAAACTAAACACAATTTTAAGTCAAAGTAACACTTCAAGAAACGTTTTAAACTAAACATGTATGTACCCTCTCGATAGGTTTGGATGAAAAATAAATTTTTCAAGACACAAATGGGAATCTGAAATCTACCATAATGAAAATCATTATAGCCATTTACGCTATGACACTGGCGTTATCAAGAAGTATCTATTGACGTATGAATCATCAAAATCAGTTGAGCCGTTTAGTAATTACGTGGAAACATAGAATCGGACATACATATGTACATATTGCATACAAACAGGCCAAACACATAACCTTCCTTTGGTCTTCATCGCAGTCAGGTACAAAGTAATTAAATATCATCGATTTTTTGTGATTCTATGACAAATCTTAGTCGTAACTTACCATAGAATACATATGTGATGGTTAAATTATTACACATTAACTTGGTAAATTCCCATTGTAGTCAGAGTTCATGGAAACGATGTGAGTGGACTATATGATGATTGGGGACACTATGAAAGGAGTTAATGTGGCAATACACTAAAATCTATGTAACAGAATTATCTACAGAAGAATCAAAGTTGTAAATTATAAACAAGCGTGAAATTTTAAATACACCAAGTTCTTCTTAGATAAATGCAAATCGTACATTTCCTTTAAGAGTTAAAATTAACTTATTTGATTCTTCTAAATTTCGTCCCTTTCTTCATGATATAAGAAATCCTACTATCATATATCAAATATCAAATATAGAAGACGTATGTACGAGATCTTACATACATTTTTTTCATTAAAAACATTTTAAATTTGTTTTGTCATAGTTTTATTTTAGGTTTTAATTCCCGACGTTATGAATGCTTTACAGCAAACGTGGTCACGGGAAAGATTGAAATCAAAGATACATTGACATACAGACAACATATCCATAAAAAATACGAATTTAGTACCTCTTCCTTTTTGGAGTCAGTCGAAATAACTCTTACATAAGAAAATTAATAAATTGCTAATAAGAAAATCTAAACCAACCAACATTTAAGATTACAGCCTTATTAGGCCTTAAAAGTAGAATAAAATAAAGAGAAAAAATATTATTACAATTTGTTCATTTATATTTGTAGCTTAATGTACCTTATTGGAATTCTAGTGTCGTCCACTTTAACTTCAATCACAGTATCGACACCGATACAATGACTGATAATATATCGGTGTGGCTTGTTAACAATGGTATCTAATATTTGCCTCATAAATTAAGTTCTAATACTTAGAACTTATTTTACGTAAAACACTCATTTATGTAATACTATATATAAAACTAGCAGAAACCACGGCTTCGCTCGCGCTAAAACTACAAAAATACTCTAAAAAAGTAGGTTTGATACAAACTTTCATCCCCTATTTTACCTCTTTATGGGATGAATTTCGAAAAATGCCAAAAGTCGTATTTAATAAATTATATTGAAAAGCTTTAATACCAAGTTTCCAGTAATTCTGATCATAAATAATTTTTGGATTGTGTTATAACGTGCTTTCCTGTGGGAATGAGATAATCTCCCGTGGTAAAAAGTAGCATGTCATTCTCCAGCGCCCCAACTATCTCCACACAACTAATCACGCCAATCCGTCACACCTTTTCGACGTGAAAGAAGTACATACCAACAAACAAACACACTTTGACATTTATAATATTAGTATGGATGTCCTTTTTTCTATACTAGCCCTTCAGACTAAGGAGTAATATGA